ACTTATTTATATACTTCCTCTCAAATAAGTCTGAAAAAATATACACACACCCAAAAAACACTACAACATTATGTCTCAAAGAATGGCCTTTGGCGATTTGAGGCTGTTGCAATATTTTGGACTAATAGGGTAGAAGAATCAAGATGCTAGTTGCATGCTTTTTCACTCAAATGTCTAACTTAAATGGTTAACTACTGACATTACATCTTTAACAACGCTGACATGGTAGCGCTAGCAATAAGAAGCAATAGGATTTTCAAAATTGATNAAATCTCATATATTACCGGTGTAATTCTCCCATTTTATAATTCAACAACCTACTCAAATCTTTTGCGGGTCCCACTTAAGCGGGCAGGAATACCCTGATATACATGAGATCCCACCCCAGATTGTATCTGAGCTGGAGGGATCGAAGTACTACCATGCCGACAAACCCTATATCTCAATAGTAATTAAGCAGTTTCATCTTAGGACCGCCATCAGAAATAGGCACACTTGAGAATTTGAAGAGCATTTATAATTGTACGGTAACGTTTCGTTAGGGTATAGTTGTTGGTCTGCAAAAAAATTCTTCTAACGATCGAGGGTGTAATCCTTTGATAGAGTGGGTTCTAGGCGATTACTTGATTTAGAGTTCAACTAACTTGTTTTAAGACATCAATTAAAATAGAACTTTTTTATTAATCTTAATTGAAAACTTCGGTTACAAAAAAAAACTGTTAAATTTGTCTCAATTGCAATACTAATTCCTAATCTAAACTACGCTTAGCCCTACTCCTAAATGATAGACCTAATGGTCTTAAACAGATAGAACAGAAAACTAACCTTAACTCACGGGATCCATAACAATGATTCTTAATACGAAAATCTTCACAAGAAGAATACCAAAAATATCGACTATAATCGCAAACTTGATTTCTAAGTAGATTGCAGATGAATTTTTTCAAAGAGTGAGAAATACTGTAAGCGTGAATAAGAGATGGGGTCTCTCAAGTAATTTATATCTCCTTCACCGGTAACCAACTGTCTCACATTAAAATAATCAGTAACCGTTCGCTCCCTTCAAGTCCTTGTACCTAGAACCCCACTTTCACAAGGAAACTACCCACTAACCTAATCAACATGTGTTAGGTAATTTAATTAAGATATCTTTATCCCAAAACTCAAGTCTATACCTTGTTAATTAAGATCCACACGTGAGTCCCATTAAATAGGTTTCAACACTAAAATGCCCAAGTCATGGGTATTTAATTAGTTTAATCTTGTCTGTCTCTTAGTAATTAGTGTCCGGGTACCTTTTATTGACGGTTGCACTAGCTTTTGAGTAGTTTCCTTCTATTTTCTTCTTTTTGTGTAAACTATTGCTTCCCTGACTTCAAAGGCCTAATCAGTTTTTGATAACTACTGCATTTTGAATTCCAGGGTAACCGACCACTCATTCAAAACAAAGGCCTTCATGTAACTGTTTCTCTTTAAATTTGAAAAACCATGTCAATTGGCTTGCTTCTTCTCGCATTTATTTAATGACTGCCACGTGACACACCACTTTGATTCTTACTTCGAATTCAACTTCGAGTTTGCACTCGATCTCTATCTGAAATCATATATTTTTGAAGGGTTTACCGATTTGTATCCTGCCTCAGAAAGGAAAACCTTAATGTTGCACCAGTCTCAACTCCAACGAAAGTCTTAGGACCAAGGTAGCAACCCTTTGTCATCTTGGATCAATCTTGATCAACAATGAGCAGATTAGGTGAAACAAATAGAGAAATATTTCTCTTCACAATGTATATGAACAGATGGTTGATTGGTATGACCATTTGTTTCTGGTTCTAATCTTATTATGTTATGTTTCTTTTTATTGACACGTGCAGTTCTTTCATTGTTTATTCATAAATATTATAAAATATAGTCCAAACAAAAGTGTAGGGAAAGATTGAATAACTAATTCTATTCCAATTCATAGTGTGTTTGGATTAATCCTCCAAACTGCCACAACTTTGACATTGCGACCGTTAATAACAATCATGCAGACGTTAATATCAATCATGTCTCATTGAATATTGTTTATTTTATGGTATTAGTTTATAATTAAGAATGAAGCGTTAAATAACACTTTAGTATCGATCCAAACCTGACTAAAATATTGTTAATATCGACACTTATAATTGGATCTAAACTTGATATTAAATGNAATTCATAGTGTGTTTGGATTAATCCTCCAAACTGCCACAACTTTGACATTGCGACAGTTAATAACAATCATGCAGACGTTAATATCAATCATGTCTCATTGAATATTGTTTATTTTATGGTATTAATTTATAATTAAGGATGAAGAGTTAAATAACACTTTAGTATCGATCCAAACCTGACTAAAATATTGTTAATAACGACACTTATAATTGGATCTAAACTTGATATTAAACGATAATCAAATTAATTTAGTTAAATCACATGTTTTAACACTCGAAACCAACATGCCATGAAGTAAATCACAAAAGTTGATACTTATTGGCTTCCATGTACTGAAAGAAAACATGAAACATGAAACATGTCAGGATCAAATTATTAGTTTTCAATAATTGTGATATCCTCCCCAAAAATTCCTATTCTTCACGGAGTTTTCACATCAAAATCGATATTCAGCTTTTTTACTTTTCTTTTGCATCATTGCAGATAGGCCCCACTGCATTTCCAATCCTTCTTTGCCTTATACTTTCTTTTCACTTCTTACAAATCACGTGGGCCCACCTCGGTTTCAATGAAAAAGAAAAGGACGATGAGAGATGGGGGATCGTTTTCACCTGATNCTTACAAATCACGTGGGCCCACCTCGGTTTCAATGAAAAAGAAAAGGACGATGAGATGGGGGATCGTTTTCACCTGGTTTTTCCACCAAATTTGTCTCCCCCTTTTGGCCCAATGGCTTGGAGATCTATGGTCGATAATCGATTCCAGCTTCTCCGGCTCAGTTTGAATTCGCTTCAATAATTTTTTACGTTTATTTTAAAAAATAATGTTAAAAAGTTTAATTTTAANTTATTCTAATTTCTTCGTTGCCAACTCGCAACTTGCTAGATCCTCCTGTTGCTATGTTTGCGGGTGATTCTTGAAAGGTCGATAAATGCAGCGGAACTTAAAAATAATAGTACAAATCGAAAAACCTTAAATCAATAGAAAATGTTAAAATGNAACTTGTAAAATTTAATACAAAATTAACTCGTCTATATGTAAAATAATCGAACTATCTAAACTCAACTCAAGTNAACTTGTAAAATTTAATACAAAATTAACTCGTCTATATGTAAAATAATCGAACTATTTAAACTCAACTTAAATNAAAATGTTAAAATGTTACCTCTTAAAACGTGTCTTTAACAATTTTCAAACTTTCTCAAATAACTTTGAATTTTAAAATTTGAATTTGATCTTTATCTTGAGCCTCGCAATTGTTTGGCCTCTATCGATATTCACACGAATTGACAAACTTAAAAGATCTACCTCAACCATTCATAAACTAGTGTCACCTCCTATATGAAGGTATTTATAGAGCTTTAAAAGACTCTAATCTTAGTTTGGGTCAAGTTACAATTATCTCATAATTACATATAACCCCTTTATTAATCATTAATTATAATAAAGTCTCTAATTAACTCTTAATTAGATTTTTACCCTAATTAATTCTTAATTAATTGTCTCTCATTTATTATTTAATTTTCAATCAATTCTATTGTGTGTGACCCTATATGTTCAAGCATACATGCTTGTAAGCTGTTGATACTAACTACAAATAACATCTCAAATTAGAACTCTTTCAATTCTCCTTTTATGAAAACCAACTAATATATTTATATTAATTTCATTCTTCGGGCTTCTATTAGTCATGAGTGACACCTAGCAATATTTCATGATAAACCTCTAGATAGCACGAAATAGATAAAGAACTCATTCAGTCTATAGTTGACATGCAATTCAATGCTTCTATCACACAATGCTCCAACTGAATTACTTGGGTATGGAATTATTGTCAAACCCTAATTATTCGATCTTAGGATTATGACTCTTAATGATCAATTAAAAACATTTTTTCTAATTGTCATACTGCCTTGGCGAAGGACTTCTTGAGTCATATCTTAAAAGATCACATAGGATATTCTCCCCTTTATTTACAAAAGGTGATAGATTTCATGTAATGCATTTATAAATCTCCATGCATGTATAACTATGTCCAACAATACATATCCAAGTTACATGGTTAGTATATAAATATGTTGTATAGTTTAAAGAATATAAGTTCATGCACAAGACAACAATAGTGTTTCAAGTCTAAGAATCAATTGCATAACTATAACTTTAAGATTTAACATTAACAGGTATGAAAAACTCCATATGAGAAATCTTACATCGGTCAATAGTTACACGCAATATACTTGTTCTCTAACGAGCACCCATACACCTGTTTTAGTTTCTCTACACTAATGACTTAAACGAACCACCTCATATCAAATATGAGTAAACATGATGTATACTAATCTATCTGGATTACATAAGATCCACATAATAATCCTATGACTAGAAACATTTAAGAATTAAGTACTAAAAATATAGTTCTCCTCTTTTCAACTCCATGAAAAATTATCTTCTTAACTTATACTTTATGAACTATATCATATATATTAAAATGAAATAAAAAAGAAACATAATAAATAAACTTAACCTTTTATTTAATTAAGTAATGAATGTTGCTAATACAACCCCAAAACATAATCTATATGATTGGTCTTAGAGCATATTACTAACAATTCTCAGATCATCTCTAACCTCAGGAGGGAATGAGAAAAAAGGAAGACAAAACTACCTTACAAACTAAAAAGAGCAGAATGTACAGTGAGATCACCTATACAGTCGTCGATATACAGCATTGCCTTGACTGAAAGAAAAGTATCAGAAGAACAAAATGAAAACAAATGGCTAGCTACCGTTTGTTCAGGGCGCTTTCAAGACTGGTTCTTCACAATCTTAACACTGCTGTAAAAACGCTTGAGATCCTTCATAGCTTTTTCCTCGATCTGAATCGAACGGAGAGATGAGGGTGTATCAACCTCTGGTTTAAACCAACGGTTTGGACCGGAAGAGTCTGATGATGGTGAGACCTGACCAGTAGAAACAGAAAACCCGGTGGTTCGTGTCTTTGGACTGTGGGAAAGACACTGCAGTTTGTTTCCCTGCTCCAAGGCAAAGGAAACAAAAGTTTACTCTGTTAAGAGTTTTTCAGGCACAGGATTTACCACTCACATGTTTCATGCAGAAGCAACAGACATGCTTGACAAACACAACCAACCTCCATCATCAAAAGCATAAATCACAACAGAACCAGGTGGTCAAGAAACCAGAATCAGCAATACTGAGCGTGCTCGCCTCTTATCCCAGTCTGAGGCTTCTACCTAGCATCATTCTTTTTTTCGCAGAGGTTCCATTTCTCAATTTTCTTTCCTCATCTTATCTCTTACTTTGTTTGAGTGGGGGGTGACGAGATTTTCTGTTTCGCGCATCATTGCTTTTGTTTCATTCTTTCATTCTAAAATTACCAGGCATGCTCACTTTCTAAGCATCTTTAAAAGTTAAAAAAAAAATGTCTCTAATAGTATACCCAAACAATTGTCATAGCNATTCGACTTATTTTAAGCTCAGTTCAGACTAAATGAGCCAAACTTAAATTTTTTTTAAAATTCTTTTAAACAATGAGTCCGATAAACTCGACTTGAGTTCGCAAAATTCGATTTGATTCTAACCCTATTTGTGGCCATACGAATCAAAACTTTAGTTTCTTGTATTACATAAATATTTGTTTTACACACTTTTTGAACACACTAATCTTCCAAAATATTGGTCTTTCAATCTTTCTCGGTATCAAATCTTAAAGTCATGAGTTTAAATCGATACTTCCTTCTTTACTACAAAAACAAAATAAATAAATGTTTGGTGTATATAATTTGCATAATTATGTCGTGATATTAAATGGTGTAAATCTTTAGTTTATGTAAATAATTGAATGACAAATTTGGTTGATATCGTAATTTTGTTGAATTATTTAGTGCAATTATTTAGTTTATCAGAACATATTAGTAACGGTTTAGTGTTATTTGGTGTATTTCAGGGGTAATTGTAAATGATTGGTGAGAAAATAGGGGAAAAGAGATGAAAAAAATAAATTATCAATGAAAGAGAGAGAGAAAAAAAAACAGGGGGGAGAGAGTGAGAGAGTATCGGTGTAAGAAATAGGGGGAGAGAGTGAGAGAATAAGAAAAGGTAAGTAAATAAAATAAAAGGTCATTTGAATTTTGTACATAATCACAAGATATTTTTATTAAAATAGAATTTATAGAATAACAACTTATTTATATACTTCCTCTCAAATAAGTCTGAAAAAATATACACACACCCAAAAAACACTACAACATTATGTCTCAAAGAATGGCCTTTGGCGATTTGAGGCTGTTGCAATATTTTGGACTAATAGGGTAGAAGAATCAAGATGCTAGTTGCATGCTTTTTCACTCAAATGTCTAACTTAAATGGTTAACTACTGACATTACATCTTTAACAACGCTGACATGGTAGCGCTAGCAATAAGAAGCAATAGGATTTTCAAAATTGATTGCTAGCAATCAAACTCAAAAGAAAACGGATAACTTGTCAACACAATGGAGGGATAAATTAACTAAAGATCTTCTCTACGTTGCTAAAAATCTAAGTAGTAACAAAGATGAGCTATGAATTCAAACGTTTTAAATTTAAATTTTTGTAACTCCTTCGAATCAGACCATAAATACTCTAGTTTCGATGTGAATAATCTATTTTTGATCAAATCAAGTACAAAATTAGTTGAAGTGCGCGTAAATTAGCTCAGATACTTCTGACCGTTGAAAAAAGAAATCCAAAATTGACCAAGTTATATATGATAAATGTTTCAAACACATTTACGACCAAAAAAAAAAAAAAAGGGTGCATATGCCCAACAGGATTAGTCGGGTGTGTTAAAAAGTACAAATACCTGTAGTTTAAAACAAAGACGTCTCAGCCGGCACATTTGTGTCGCGATTTGTTGGAAAAGTTCCCCTTAAACAACAAAGCTTCTCTCCTCTTATTCTAATTTCTTCGTTGCCAACTCGCAACTTGCTAGATCCTCCTGTTGCTATGTTTGCGGGTGATTCTTGAAAGGTCGATAAATGCAGCGGAACTTAAAAATAATAGTACAAATCGAAAAACCTTAAATCAATAGAAAATGTTAAAATGTTACCTCTTAAAACGTGTCTTTAACAATTTTCAAACTTTCTCAAATAACTTTGAATTTTAAAATTTGAATTTGATCTTTATCTTGAGCCTCGCAATTGTTTGGCCTCTATCGATATTCACACGAATTGACAAACTTAAAAGATCTACCTCAACCATTCATAAACTAGTGTCACCTCCTATATGAAGGTATTTATAGAGCTTTAAAAGACTCTAATCTTAGTTTGGGTCAAGTTACNAAAGTTAAAAAAAAAATGTCTCTAATAGTATACCCAAACAATTGTCATAGCTATAGCCATCAGCAACGTATATCCAAATAAATTTTTCTCATTTATTCATCCTTGAATCACCTAATATTTAAAATATGTTCCCGTATAACATACTTAAAATATGCATAACATGACATTGCACAGACACANGCTATAGCCATCAGCAACGTATATCCAAATAAATTTTTCTCATTTATTCATCCTTGTATCACCTAATATTTAAAATATGTTCCCGTATAACATACTTAAAATATGCATAACATGACATTGCACAGACAAANAATAAAGTCTCTAATTAACTCTTAATTAGATTTTTACCCTAATTAATTCTTAATTAATTGTCTCTCATTTATTATTTAATTTTCAATCAATTCTATTGTGTGTGACCCTATATGTTCAAGCATACATGCTTGTAAGCTGTTGATACTAACTACAAATAACATCTCAAATTAGAACTCTTTCAATTCTCCTTTTATGAAAACCAACTAATATATTTATATTAATTTCATTCTTCGGGCTTCTATTAGTCATGAGTGACACCTAGCAATATTTCATGATAAACCTCTAGATAGCACGAAATAGATAAAGAACTCATTCAGTCTATAGTTGACATGCAATTCAATGCTTCTATCACACAATGCTCCAACTGAATTACTTGGGTATGGAATTATTGTCAAACCCTAATTATTCGATCTTAGGATTATGATTCTTAATGATCAATTAAAAACATTTTTTCTAATTGTCATACTGCCTTGGCGAAGGACTTCTTGAGTCATATCTTAAAAGATCACATAGGATATTCTCCCCTTTATTTACAAAAGGTGATAGATTTCATGTAATGAATTTATAAATCTCCATGCATGTATAATTATGTCCAACAATACATATCCAAGTTACATGGTTAGTATATAAATATGTTGTATAGTTTAAAGAATAAAAGTTCATGCACAAGACAACAATAGTGTTTCAAGTCTAAGAATCAATTGCATAACTATAACTTTAAGATTTAACATTAACAGGTATGAAAAACTCCATATGAGAAATCTTACATCGGTCAATAGTTACACGCAATATACTTGTTCTCTAACGAGCACCCATACACCTGTTTTAGTTTCTCTACACTAATGACTTAAACGAACCACCTCATATCAAATATGAGTAAACATGATGTATACTAATCTATCTGGATTACATAAGATCCACATAATAATCCTATGACTAGAAACATTTAAGAATTAAGTACTAAAAATATAGTTCTCCTCTTTTCAACTCCATGAAAAATTATCTTCTTAACTTATACTTTATGAACTATATCATATATATTAAAATGAAATAAAAAAGAAACATAATAAATAAACTTACCCTTTTATTTAATTAAGTAATGAATGTTGCTAATACAACCCCAAAACATAATCTATATGATTGGTCTTAGAGCATATTACTAACAATTCTCAGATCATCTCTAACCTCAGGAGGGAATGAGAAAAAAGGAAGACAAAACTACCTTACAAACTAAAAAGAGCAGAATGTACAGTGAGATCACCTATACAGTCGTCGATATACAGCATTGCCTTGACTGAAAGGAAAGTATCAGAAGAACAAAATGAAAACAAATGGCTAGCTACCGTTTGTTCAGGGCGCTTTCAAGACTGGTTCTTCACAATCTTAACACTGCTGTAAAAACGCTTGAGATCCTTCATAGCTTTTTCCTCGATCTGAATCGAACGGAGAGATGAGGGTGTATCAACCTCTGGTTTAAACCAACGGTTTGGACCGGAAGAGTCTGATGATGGTGAGACCTGACCAGTAGAAACAGAAAACCCGGTGGTTCGTGTCTTTGGACTGTGGGAAAGACACTGCAGTTTGTTTCCCTGCTCCAAGGCAAAGGAAACAAAAGTTTACTCTGTTAAGAGTTTTTCAGGCACAGGATTTACCACTCACATGTTTCATGCAGAAGCAACAGACATGCTTGACAAACACAACCAACCTCCATCATCAAAAGCATAAATCACAACAGAACCAGGTGGTCAAGAAACCAGAATCAGCAATACTGAGCGTGCTCGCCTCTTATCCCAGTCTGAGGCTTCTACCTAGCATCATTCTTTTTTTCCCAGAGGTTCCATTTCTCAATTTTCTTTCCTCATCTTATCTCTTACTTTGTTTGAGTGGGGGGTGACGAGATTTTCTGTTTCGCGCATCATTGCTTTTGTTTCATTCTTTCATTCTAAAATTACCAGGCATGCTCACTTTCTAAGCATCTTTAAAAGTTAAAAAAAAAATGTCTCTAATAGTATACCCAAACAATTGTCATAGCTATAGCCATCAGCAACGTATATCCAAATAAATTTTTCTCATTTATTCATCCTTGTATCACCTAATATTTAAAATATGTTCCCGTATAACATACTTAAAATATGCATAACATGACATTGCACAGACAAACAAGCAGAACAGATGCAGATACAGAAGCACAAGCATACCTGCTGCAATTGGATATCCCTGAGAGATGGACGAGAAAGGACAGGTGGCGTGCCAGAAGCCCAAGGAGGGGTGCTTCTTTCTCCATCAGGTACCTGTGATGTCTGACATGGGATCACAGGTATTGGATTGGAAGTCAGAAATGAACTCACTCGAAGTGTCCCACCATTTTTGCCATCAGAAACAGCTTCCACCTGATCTTTGCTTCTCATTGACTTAGTCTCCTTGGTTTTGCTCTGTTCATCCTGTATCTCCCGAAGAGATGTGGATCTCTCCAGAACCTTAGCACCACCCCAAGCAGAGCCCTCAGCTTTGGGCATCGGTGATGCTGGAAAATCTTCTTTGGTAATATCATCAAGAGCACCACTCAAGAACATAGACAGGCCACCTTTTCTGCTCTTTTTCTTCAATGCTGAAATCGAAGAATTCTTATTTTTCAGATTGTCTGCAAGGTCTTCCTTAATGCAGAAGGGAGACACTTCGGTGACTTGGCTAGGCTTGGCTTCTGTGCCATCATCCTATCACATGACAATGAATGTGATAAACAGATGTATCGATCTTGTGTTCTACGTGGAAAAGGATACTACCATCCATAAGCAACTGATTAACAGGGCATCACCCTCAAACAATTACTAGCATCATCATAGTTGTCCGATCATTTTTTCAGGTTATTTGTCCTAGTCAGATTATTTGTTAGTCAACAGCGGACCCAAAAAAAAAATAGGGAAGTTCTCCTATAGGGTTCAAATACAAGAAAAACTAACAGCCTGATTACAATTACTTCAATATCCACAAACAAAAAATCCTCAGCCAAGCTTTTTTATCTCCTGGCAGAAGTGTTTCCTATGGAGCACTGAGCACTAATCGAATCAAACTCAGCATTTGGAACTCCTAAACATGAAAGATCACACAAGGATCTACTTTATCGAGGGTGCCACCACATTTTCAGGTTTATCTACAAAATTGTTGTTTAATAAGAAAGGAGATTTGGAACCTTACCTTATGCTTGACTTGAGAAATTTCAACATCCAAGAAACCCTTTACGGGGTTTGGTTCAAGAGTGATCCCACAATTAATAGATTTGACTTCTACTTGTGCTGCCCTTGGTTTGCTCTTTCTCCTGTGTTTTCTTGATACCTCCACCTTTTTACTCCCTTTTCCATCAGGCGACACTGAAGAAGACGCTTTTGCCTGCAACTTTCCAATTGGAACGCCAAGCTCAGCAAGAAATCTTTCCAATTCTGACCTTGTCTGAAGCTTTGCAATCTGCTGGTCATCAAGAAGATGACCCCTAGATTGCTTCTCTTCAAGCATCTCAATCTGCTGCAACTTTTTCCTCAAAGCTCGGATTTGTTTGCTAATGCCTTCATTTGCATCATCATAAGGTTGTAAAAAGCTATCTAGCCTCTCGTCTTTCTCTTTCTTTGCAGTAGGTTTTTTTGTATGACTATCACGAATCCTCAGAAATTCAGTCTCACTGTCCTCTTCTTCACTATCAATGATAGGAGGGAAAGTAGCAGTTGGGGTTGGGAGCCGACGGTAGCTCCACGGTTCAGATGATTTCAAATCCAGCAATTTTTCAAGATTGGCTAAAATGTCCAATGAAGCACTAGCAATAGCATGTGGTGAAACGGTGAGAATATAATCAAGATTACGAATTGCAATCTCCTGCAGCAAGTTTTTGAGACAGCTTCAATAAGAAAAATCTAATAACAAACCAATAGCTTCACGAAGTGTCAAAAAACTAGAACATAATAGAAATCATCGAGAACACTACCCCTGGAATTCATATTCGAAAGGCAATCTTATTACATGATCTTTTAGACCAACATATCTCTGACCACAATCATTTTTCATTCATGGTAGTTGTACTTGAAGTGGACCATAGCAAAAAAAAAACGAATGGAACATTACACAAAATCAAAATTGTATGATAGAAGCGAATATGCTTCTTGACGATGCACTTTCCAGTAAATAGGTACAGTTCTCCCTCAAATTTTGGTTCTTAACTTCAGGGGCATTGAAGCACAAGCAAATCATTCCTTTGGTCGCAAATGGACATCCACTGAAATTATATACAAGATTACATTAGCGTGCATGTTCTTTGAGAAACTATTACATCCTTTAAACATACTAGACTGGACCAACCTATGTACTACAGGAATTAGCAATTCATGAGCAGCAATACCACATGAAAATGTCAACACCAATGCAGTATACATAAGTAAAGATGTAGCCCACATATCACTCACACTACTATTATTCCCGTATCAAGACAGTTCAAGCGAACAGGGAATCAATTAGTTTTACAAACATCGGATATTATACCTTTTGCACTAAATGTACAAATATATTTGAGAATTTTCTAGCCACTAATTATATTCATGAGGGGTACAGTCGGATGGTTGTGCTTGTACAATTGATTATAATTAAGACTAAAACCAGACACATTCTATCAACAGGTTAACGGGGGCTGCATTGAGCATCACCCTCTACCAATTGGGTGCAAGTCCTATGAATTGTGTATAGTGCTTTTTAAACTTAAAAAAGTAAACACAAAACAAAACAAGGCAGTACAGTTCTTTTGAACTTCCAGGGTGACAAGAAAAAACAACTGGATCAGACAGGAAGTGGTTTATGTCCTTACAAGAATCAACTACAAACTAGGCCAGAGTGGGCCTCAAACAACCACATTCACCAGCCCCTTTATATTCTAAAGAATGTGCAGTATCCCTTGGCCAAGTCTACCTTCAGATAACTATAAAAAGCAGGCAACGATATTACAATACAATGAACATACATCAAGCTATCTAGGGAACATTGTATGACCTTTACTCAAAGTAGCAACCAAGGATCAAGATTTCATTTCGAAACGGTCGAAACGTATGAAACGTTTCTTTTTCCAAGGAGACCAAAACAAATAAGTGAGAGACCAAAACAAATAAGTGAGAGACCAAAACAAATAAGCGATAGAATTGAAATTCTAATATTTTGAAATGTTTTATAATATTTCGAGATATTTTGTAATGTTTCAAACTTTCGCATTTGCATAATTGTTTCAGAATATTTCAAGATATTTTGATATATTTCGATCAATGTTTTGAAAAAATAATTCTTAATTTTTTTATTTTTTTCAATGTTTTGAAAAAATAATTCTTAATTTTTTTATTTTTTTCATTATGTTTCCGAAACTGGTTGAAACGTTTCCAAAACACGTCGAAACATTTCCGTTTTCTAGGTGGCCGAAATAATACATCAAAACGAAATATTGATCCTTGGTAGCAACTGGTGTGCAGTACATCACATTGAACAGCCATGAATGTGTTCCACCAAAGCAAGGGTTAAATCCACAAAAAAGAGAAAGCAAGCAGTTATCAAGAACATATCCTACGAAGGAGTAGGCAATGTATACGTTTATGCACATCACTAAGATGACTGCAATGTACGTCAAGTACAGTAGACGGACTTCAAATGGACTTTGTAGTTAGTACTACAAAAAAAAGTTGGCAATACTGTGAACGTTCCCCTTTTTGACTTCCCTTCTGGCTAGGTGTGTGGAAAGGTGGATGGACNTGTACGTCAAGTACAGTAGACGGACTTCAAATGGACTTTGTAGTTAGTAGTAGTACTACAAAAAAAAGTTGGCAATACTTTGAACGTTCCCCTTTTTGACTTCCCTTCTGGCTAGGTGTGTGGAAAGGTGGATGGACATGTAAGAATTTACATTATGGTATTTCCCTTTAAGTTCACGGGCGTAAACTAGCAGAACAGCGGCCTGTTGATTAAAACCAATTCCTAATTTGCAGACAAAATTAAAGATTTTTGATTCTACAAGACCCAGGCAAAAAGTTACACCAGAAAAGTCAAAAAACAAAATCCTTTTGAAAGCTTTATAATCGATGAGTCTTGGAAATGTAGCAAACAATATTAGCATGGTACTCTATTTTCATTATTTTTTTGTTGACATGCATCAAATGGGGAAGGAGGGATTTCAGTCAGAGTTGCCCAGGTTGTCACAGGTGGGACTTTTCTTCTGGGATAGAACCATTATTCAGTATAAGTATGGTACTCTAGAAAACCTATTTAAAGGAAATTCCGATGTTTAAGGAAAATGAAACGAGCCACTGGGGGAGATACCTCACAATGCTTCCTCAGATCATTTGCCCCAAGCGCATCTGCAATTTCAAGCAGTTGAACAGCACTTCGTGGCTCCACCAAACACTCTGCTGCCACTTTCTCACAAAGGCTTTTTAAGCTTGGTATAGGCCTGTGAACAAGATCATTCGTCTGCATAGCGGATGAGATTCTATCGGACTCCATATCGTTAAACACAAGTTCTTCATCTAATTCATTCCTAATGTTTTTCTTTAGCTTCTGAGGATTGTTTAAAATACTAGGAGGATATACAGGATGATAGAGAGAACTAATAATCAACAGATGCGTTTCTCCAACAGAAACTGAAGAGGCCCGTTTTACACCATGTAATCGAGTTGCGGTTGGTGGCTCATCCTTTCCTTTCTTTCCATCCCAACTATAAACATCACCTGTTGCTGTAACTGCAGCGGTCCAGTATTTCCCAGCAGAAATACTGGCAATAGTTCTTCCACAAAATGAATATAGCTACAAATTTACAAATTAAAAATGCAACATATATCAGTAAAGGATCAAAGTGAGTACAAAAATCCAAAGACATGCCTAACTCAGTTAAACAAAACCTGTTGACATCTAAGATCAGAATCAGAGGAGACCCAATAAAACAAGGCACCATCGTCTGTAAGAGCCATGCTATGTACCATGCCAGCAGCTATAGCAACCACATGAAGCCGTTCCTTACGGTGAAACTTCAATGGAGTACTCCCACTTTTCTTAATAATTCTAGCAATGACAACTCGTCTTGGAGTAACAAGGCGGTGACCCCAAGTAAACACCTGCAAATCATGGTAAACCAGATCAACAAGTCAGCAGTAGTAATGACACTGGTAGTGGTCGCAATGGTATATCCACTACAATGTACCTCTCCATTGGCTCCTAAAACAATTGTGTGACACTTCGCTGTTGCAACTCCAATAAAAGCTTTTCCCTTCAGGTATTCAACCACTCTTGGAGTGTAATTTGAAGCTGAGTTAGAGGTACCATAACCAAGTTGACCCTCTTTGTTGCAGCCCCATGTCAAAACCTCACCCGACTCAGAAACTACAGCAGTGTGTTTGTTTGCTGCAGCAACAGCAACAATTTTTGATTTTAAGGAACTCACTCTCCGTGGAGTGGGTTGGGTGTCCACAGAAGTATAGCCAAGTTGACCCTCTGCAAAGTAATAAGAGAAAAGTGTCAACACTGCAGAAATCGTTGAGCACGAGAAAATTAACTGCTTAACGAAAACTTTTTACTGCTTCCCAGTTTCAGTTTCATATTGAACTAAAAGCTAATCCAAATAAAAGGAAAAAATCAAGTTGGATGATTCTATTTTACATCTTTGCCTATTTGATAGCAAAAGGGTAAGCAATTTGAAGCCAGGGATATGTATAAGTGGACACAGAATTACAAGAAAGTCCCAGTGATTGAAGAATGTAACTTTGAATGTACACTGATACACAAAATTATTACCTCTATTGGAACCCCAAGTGAACACCTCCCCGCCCTGTGTAGCAACTACAGTGTGATGTTTAGCCGCCGCAATAGCCTTAACCCGGCGGGCCCCCAAACCAGAAGTCACCTGCCGGGGAGTTATAACTGCAGCTTGGCCGCTGCAAATATAACAATAAAATCATTTGATTTATCATTTACAATTCTTAAAGAAAGATTCAACAGCTAAGAGTAGGCAAAGTTTGGTTGATGATGATGGTAATGCCTAACACAGACACCAAGTCTAAACCTTATTCGTTAGATCAATGGAGTTGTACCCATAGCATATGCCAGTATCTAATGATATTGGACATCAACACTTTTGTGTTGCAACTGTAATTTGAAGTAAAGAATAGAAACAGAGACACCCAAAGAAACAGAACTGGGAAAAAGAGCAAAACCAAAGAACAAAAAACATAGTGCAACATGCAGGATTATATCACTGTCCTTCAACATATACTACCGGAGTTGCATCTGCAAGGATTCATTACATTTGTGACATCAAGGTGAACCACATACTATGATAAACAAACTCGATCATCGAATTTCTTAACAACTCTTGCAAAGAACAGATGTACAGAACTACAAAGAATGTCAAAATTACAGCTGTTCAATAATTGAAATGAAAAAATTAAAAAGTTGATATTCATAGGTGTCGCTGGATAAGCTTATATAATCGGTGTGGATGAATAAGTTTATATCATAGGTGTGTCTGAATAAGTTTATAAGAACCTCAGTTACCTGTGAATATCAAAGTCAGGGTGCCCAAGACGACCGCCCCTACCAAATCCCCATGTGTAAACTTCTCCACGATCGCTAACTGCTACACTATGGAACTTCGCAGCAGAAACTGATTTGATAAGTAAACCATGAAGTGAATCAACTTTGCAAGGTAGCTTCTGTAAGTGTGCATTTCCAGTTCCTAGCTGATAGTTCACACCACTACCCCAACTAAACACCTCCGTAGCCACTAAACATACAAATAATTGTTCAGGATATCTTAAGCATGGTCAGGTCAGATTTGCAACACCATATGATCCTTCCAACTAATAAGGAAAAATATTGGAGTACCTGAATTATCTCCATTCCCAACGGCCCTTATCACAGGCCCAGAAAGGAGATCAGCAGGGGTTCGGGATTTAGAGTCCTCCAATGTGATAGAAGCACAATACTGGAGAAGGATGCTTGCCGCCACAAGATAACCAAAATGCAGAGCCCTGTGAAAGCTACTCCATCCTGATTCCCCGTCCTGAAAAGGAAAACAAATGGCTAGTCAATAAGCAGCTAAACCCAGTTTCAGCATAATAAAACCTGAATAGAATAACTCCTCTGTAGCTCAGAGTACGAAATCTTCCCAGAAATCTGTTACGTGAATTTAGCATGTTTCACCCAAATCATTTGTAAGGTATTATTTCCTTAGTGATACTAGCTACAAGTTATATTTGTTAGGAACTTAGGACTACAAAAAATTCTTCCCAAAAAAACTCCCTAATAAGCATAATGTGCACAACAAGCCCACAAGACATGCAATTTGAATACTCATCAAGTAGAGAGAGAAACATGAACTAATCGCTTATAGCATGAGATGCCACCAGAAAGCTGTTTAGTTCAGAGTTTGTCCCAAAATTCCCAAAATCATAGCAGACCTATTCTCCAGATCCTAAACTATCAACTACTTCCAGTTGCTCAGAGAAACAACAGGAAACTGAAAATATAGATGTAAACATTAAATGCCTAGTTAACTTGCCCTGTGATCTGACCATAACACCTCAGGGTTCATCCATATGTATCATAGAAGCATTAGGAAGATCTAAAGGATCAGAAGTGTAGCACACCCTGGCATTGGGGTCTGCACCAGCTGCAAGCAGCCTTCTAACAATGGGTATGTGATTTCTCCATGTCGCAATGTGCAGAGGAGTGAGGCCACATGCATTCCTTGAATCAATATTTCCCCCATTTTTCTTCAACAGGGCCAAAGCCATTTCTACATCAGCCACATGCCCTTCACGTACAACAAGCCACAGATCTTTTGAGGACTTGCGAGCAGGAGTTTGCACATTATGCTTTTGTACATGAGGTAAAACTACTTCCTCCATTAAAGTTTAAGTGGTCACTGCCAGATGTTCAGAATTTGCAACTGAAGTAGTCCCACCAATCACTTCCAAAACTTAAGTTAACAACAAGCACTTATCCCAAGACAACTTCCAAAACCAGATTCTTTTGGATCCGGGCAATAACTTAGCAATGGGCAACCCACAGTGGAACAACTCTGGCCATCAAAAGGTTAATGTGATCTACTCCATGTTAGCAAGTAAACCAATCAGAATATTAATCATCACCATCTTTATCATGAATGCAAACCAGCCACCGCAACCATTCACAAACTCCCATAGCGCATCATGGGCTATAACAAGCCATCGGATAACATAGGAAGCATTGAAGCAACACCGCTGCATTTTCCAAATCTTCCATCAGTGAAGACTTATTAGCAGAAATAAAAAAACAACTGTGATAAGCACACAGACAAACATGGCAGGCCATTCCTTGTCAAAAGAGTGACACACTGATATATAAATAGTAACATTACATAAAACATCCTCATACATTTGACATGATTACATATACAGAGAATGTGATTCTGAACAATATGACAATATGTGCAGCATTATGAGGACACAATTACATCTGGGTTTTACGCAGTTTTGAGTCATATAAATAGAAGTGTGCCACATTCCAAGGATAGCACAAGATCTAGGTAGATTTACCATAAAAAAGTACTGATTTTCCTTCTATAAAAGGAGTATCAATTGGATGAGATTTTAGGAATTACACCCTTATATAAAAGTTGAACTGAATCTAATTTGATCAAATATGGAAAACAAATCTAATTAAAATACAAAAAAAAAAAAAAAAAAAA